GATTGCTTACCATCAGGTAATCCGTCTGGCGTCTGCTCCCACCCTATCCTATAAACATTTTTTTATAAACTACGTATATGTGTAAAGAACCGTCTTCAACCGCCTCTTTTTTTGAAATCGGTTAAAAAATATACTCAAACCTTCTCCTAAGTGTAGCAAACAATTTTCTGAAAACCGCATTAAAATCGGTGCAGCCAATCCCAAAATATAGGCACAAACATACATATAGGTCAAACAACGAACCTCCTTTATATGGAGTCGGTTAAAAAGAATTAAGAGCCAAACAATAAAAGTAATCTAATATCTTTCATTGTTTCCGATATTTTTTTATCTTTTCAGTTTAAAGTATAAATGTATAGCCTTTCAGGCTTACAGTCAGTATCCAACAACCGGCTGAAACTTTCAGTGGTCTCCTGTAATAGAACCTATTGTCAATCACGGAGTTCGAATCCTTCTTGACACCTACGTACTATTGAATTGTTTAAAAAAAATAATTGGTTGCTAACCTATGCCTGCCTGAGAACCTAACGGGTAACCGGGGCTCCGGTTCGACGTGCAGGAGAAGGAACGGGGTGGTTTTTAGTCAGTAAGAGTCTGACACTCCCTCCCGCCTCACCCAGGCGGGAGCGGTCATTCGATGATTTTCCCCCCTTAAAAAAATGCTTGCCTGAAAAACAAGTTTCTTTAAAATAAATCTCTTTAATAAAAAACAATAATTACAATCTACTTAAGTATGTTCAAACTCCAGCACATTAAGTTACCCTAAGCTGCAACCGATTTTCGACATTATTATAAAAAGAAAAGCTTCAAAATCCGATGCATAATTTTGTCACGTCAGCATAGCTTCACTTACTGGCGTTTATACCTAGGCACCTACCTTTAATTTATATTTGTATAGTAGGTATTACCCATTATATATGTAACTACACAAATACAAGGACAATGTGTTTGTCCATAGCAACACAATCATGGAACACTTTACCGCCTGGTATCAGCAGTAAGCGACCGTTACCTAATCTATGACGGTCACCCCTTCTATTCCCGGCTGATGTACACCCCTGCTGGGTACCACATGCCCTAATACCAGCTTATCTCCCAACAACTTGGGGGACAAAGGTACACATGGCAACAGCTCAAGCTGTAACAACCAGCATAAGCTGACCGTGGAATGTGCGGAAGGATTGTACGAAGTAAGACCATGATACACTGGTAGAGTTTAGTTGAATGTGTAAGTCGAGTATGTGTTTGTTACTCGTTAATAAAGGGGTATTTGCAGATTGTGTTTTATTGTCAGCTGTTGGTAAATACTCGACTATCATCAGAAAGTGAATATTCACAATGTGGAATCGAACCTATTATCACATGCTAAGCAGCTGTATGTTTATCCAACGAGACCATAAAGACAAATGTTGTCATATTTCAACTCAATAACATTAATTAATGTTAATGTATGTGGACGTGGATGAATCATCCAACCATAATATCCACTGGTCCGATCAAAACATCGCCAAGTAATATAATAACAATCGTAGAAAACAAAGTTTGGAAAAATCTGGAATTACTATAAATATTATGTTTGTAATGACATAAAAAGCTCGGCGTTAGCAACACTTGGATCAATAATACCTTACTGAGCAAATAGCTAAACTAAACATATCCACTGAACACTGCCCGGCTGAAATATGATCTAAACAGCTAGATACAAGGTTCATATTACATTCAACGAGTTCTGAACATATATTTTTGATACGATAATTTTATTGAGTGTCTGTAAAAATAACGGAACTCCATGTTTCAGATGAGGTTCGTTTTCAGTACTTTCAGTAGGTGTATGGTTACAGGAGCGGCTCACAGATGGCGCCCTGTGTCGCGTTTGCGTATCACAGCAAGCCTCGCCTAGTAACAATAATCAATGCTTTCCAATTCCTTATAAAATTGATTTCAGTTTAGTGCTTGTGATGTGTGCCAGGGTACTATTGTACATAATTATACAAACACAGACACATGTACCTACATAGAAATCATAATGTAGCTAAGGTCTAAGCAAATGTCAAAGTTTTTATTTTCTACAAAATTATAATTATAGAGACTAATGATGGCTAGTGCTGGGCAACGCTCGGAGCGTCCAAACATCGATAATGGTACCGAAGTATACAAGTATACAGTCTGCTGCGTCACGTTCATTGCAACAATCATGTCGTTGGCTTGCGGTTAGAAAGTTAAATAACCCTTGTTTTGGTATAAAATTAAATCTTGCACCAATCATGAGATTTCGTGTTATTAGAAAAAGTAAGGAGCCTGAACAATTACTGTGTAATAAACTGTCACCTACAAATAACGCCCTCACGGCCCTTTGTTCTTTGAATGGATAGGATGAGTTCGTACCAAAACTGTAGTTGGATCTAAATTAAATAATCTACAAGTGATGTACAAACACGGACACTGCGAGGTATAATTCGTTAGTCACACATTCGGAAGTTGTTGCCTATTTATTGCGGATTAAAAGTGATAATTTATGTTTGCCAAAACCGTCCGGTTATTTCTCAATACACAGGATTCTGGCCTGTAGTGGTATCGAAATAACGACGGTTATTGCTTGCGCATTTTGACCAAAACGTGTTGCTATGTCAAATGGTCCAATTTCTTCAGAATCGATACAAAGACCTCTGCGTGTTAATTTGTTTACTTCGAACGGAACGAATTTATTTTATGTTTTGCACATTGGGATATAAAAAACTTTACACGTTCGGTAAAATTAACAAAAAAAGATCGAAGAAAGAATAAAAACCAATGAAAATTGTTGATTGCTCTGCACTTTGTAATGACTGAGTACAACTCTTTGATAGACAAATATTACTGAGCTAGTCATACAGTGTGTGGCAGCCAATGTTGTTTATAAAACGATCTGAAGGCGAGATAATAAAAAGATTGAGTCTACGATAGAGCACGATCATAAAAAGCGATGCCAATTTACTGCAAACGCAAACTCAGCGTTCGAGGATAAGAACCTACATTTTACCCATATAGCTGTTCTTGCATTATCGAGGCACATCAAAGCTATTTGGCACCATCCACGAACGCGGGCAGGCAATGCAATTTATCTCATATCGCAATCTGCACATATAGCGAGTCAGCGTTTAGATTCCGACTACATTCGTGCAGCTACACATGGAAGCAACATGCTGAGCATGTATGTATATAGAAACTGTACAGGCTCGTCCATGCTTGCTAATTATACAAAAAACACTCGAGGATGGGGTTGCACCAATCTGTAGCGAGGCCCCTCCTGAACCGGTCGCAACCGGTCCCAACCGGTCTTATTAAAATATAACTCAGCCTCTGCTTGTTTTTACCTAGCTTTAAATTTATGATAATGTATGGAAACGATGTTCATTCTTTGTTTTTTAGTGTCATCTGTATGGAATCTTTTATTGTGAAGCATTTCGTTTGTGCGAGTAAATGTTAAGATGTGTGTGTGTGTGTGTGTGTTTGTTTGTGACTGTGACCATTGTGGTCGTGTGGGTACTTTTCACCTTATATTGCGGGAGAGGGTTGGGCATTGAAACAACAGCTTTCCATTTTGAAACTATGTATTTTTTTTTTTCTTCAATATTTCTACATTTTCTTTTACGGTCTATCAAATAAATATCAATTATAAACAATTGATACATTTATTATTATTGTTAGTTTTTGTATATGTCGACATTTCAAGTTTTAGAAGTAAAATGTTTTTGTAGCTTTTTAAAATCTTTTTATTTATCGATGAAAGTGAACTCTAGTACTATGATATTGTGCGTTTAGAACACTGGACCCTACAAACATTTAGATTTCGTTTAAAAACGGTTAGTCTATTGATTTACATTTAATGTAGTAATTACACTGGATGAAGAAAATGCAATCTGCAATATTAACATATCGTCAATTATATTGTACTGTTAGTACAATTGTATCTTATCACCCACTGGACTAAAGTAACGCAGCTTCGCGCGGCGATAGAAAATAATCTTACAAAAAATTCATTTTATATTAACTTAAATAACTTAATACTTTTAATAACTATCAATAATATAACCTGAGATCTTTTGCCTGCAGCTGGGGGCGGCGGGGCGGGGGCGCGCGCGCGGCCTGCGCCCCCGCCCCGCCGCGCCCCTTGCTGCCTCCCTACTCACCTCTCTATGATACACGTCTCTAATATTTATAAATCTGCATTCATGTTTTCACATTCATAAAAAGTAATATTTTTCTCGCATAATTTTTTATACATTACAAAAGTAGTATCACAAACAAATGTACAAACTAGTACAATTACGAAAAACGTACACATATCGGACCTCTACAGAGGCCGCCTCTAATAAATACGATACATGAAAATACCAACTCTACGCAACTTCAGAATAGAATCGAACTCGAAACAAAAAATAATACCTAAGACTATATCGTTCAGGGTATCAGTATCACACGCGCGGCGGCGGCTGAGATCAGAGGGTGCGCACGAACGCCGCCACGCCACTCACGCGACCAACCAGCACGACTCACAATCATTAAAATATCCAAAATACGAACAATGATCATACAATGATTAACATAAGTACGAGCGGCGCGGGGGGGCGAGCGCAGCGGTGGGCAGACAAGACAACCGACGTCCAGGGGGGAGGGGGCGAGATCGACGCTCGCCGCCGCGCGCCGGCGCACGCACGTCCGCCGCCGCCGGCACGCTCGACCAGCGACCGAATATCGACACTTTATCGATAACAAAGTGCATTTCGCATCACTATCGACCGTGCCCGCGACAGCAGCCGGCTAACTTAAACCTGCGCTCTTCCGCGCGCTTATACTACATCTATACGTTACATATCACGCTGTGCTTTTTTCTCTTATTAAAAATATATAATAATTAATATAATATATAATAATATGATATTTGTTAAAATAACGATACGTAGATATCGAGGAGGGCTGTCAGTCGGCTCGCTCGCATCACGCGCATATCACAGGCCTGTTCACTCTGCCTGGCTCCTGAACAGTTTCTTCTTTTCTATCGTGAACTGGGGGCTGATGATGATGGTGCCGCCTCGCGTTAAGTTTCTGTAACAAAAGAGAGATTCCGTTAGCATCGGCTGTCACTGTTGCTACGCAGTCGAGTGAACTAATGCAATAGACTTGATTGACATGAGCTCCACTCCGGAGATCAACTTACTTTAAGAATTGCGGCAACAGGCTAGTCCAGTTCGTGGCATCATGTTCCAGATGTAGATGTATCTCGTGCGTGGTTAAAGTGTTGGGGTCTATTTTGAAAGCTGCTAATCTTCTGCCCGCGACGTCAACTATGACCGCCGCCCCTCGGGACCCACAGGGCTCGCCCTCGGCTAACGCCAGCGTCTGCCGAGATGCCCTGGCCAGTAGCTCGGCAGGTACTAGCACCTCGGCGGTGGCCAGCTCGCTGGCTCCTTTCGCTGCTCGGAGCTCGCGCTCCAGCCTCTGAGCCAGCGCCGCCTCCGTCGGCACCGGGACCGGTGCTTCCCGCCATGTAGGCCCATTCCAAGCTATAACAATACAAAAAAACATTATATATTTATCCAACAACCTGTTTGTATCCTAATAAGAACCTAATTGGACTGATTAGTTAGTTGTCACTCATCTAATAATAATTGTTAAATGCTTAAATTTACCAATAATTTTTAATCTAAATCCAGCATCCGAATGTAACTACATGAATATAACAAAGTTAACGCAAATATGTATCGAGCCAGTGCGCACCAAGGGCGAGGGAGTGCGGCGCAGCGGAACAGCTGACACGTCAGCTGATACTGACGTTTGGGCCCCGAGCCGGTGCACACTGCTGCTCACTCGATTATTAGATTAGGTATAGGGAGCTGGATGTGCTGGTGGGCAAGGTGAGGCTCAGTGCTCCCAGTGTGAGCACTAAGCTAGAGTGACGGGCGGCTGAGCGCAGTGCGCGCGCCGCATAGCAACACAGTCAGCCGGTTAGAAAGCCACTTCCCTCCCTCGCCTCGCTACTCCGAATAGAAAGTCAACTCACCTTTTTCACTATTGAATCCGACAAACTGATTCGTGACCGGCAGGATCTCCATGTTTTCCAAATTTTTACTTATATTGTACACTTTTTAAACGACAAAAAAACGTTCCGCTGCGGAACTTAATATTAGTAGAAAAATATCACAAGTCTCTTTTGTACTGCGAATGCGCACTGAACAAACCGGCTAAACACCACCGGCGACTAGTTATCGTCAGAGATCGATGGGAAATTGATAAAAATGTCCGAAGCTCACGACCGCATCAGATCTGATCTCGTAACCATAGGGCTTCGTCACTCGCCCACGGCTCACTATTTGACCCACCCAACCCTGTCGCTCTTTGTGACGGACTGACGTTAACCGGGGACCGGAGCAAGTTTTATAGAGGGCCGAGGCGGGGGTACGGGGGGACACTCCGCGGGCCGCAGAGGGGGCCCCGCGCGCCAGTTGTGCCGAGTCGCGGTCCGTGGAGGACGTCTCCACGTCGCTCTGAGCCGGCGCGCGGCCGCAAGCCGGCCGGCTTCTTTGTTCGGCTCCCACCGGTGGGACGCCTCGGGTCTATCTCAATAAGAAGTGTTGCTCGTATTATTACTGTGTTAATTCACGTTCTCGCATTTGCTGTAACGGTTTCTTTGTTAATGCAGCAGTTCAGAAACTACTAGAATATAGATCGTTGTATGTTGTAACTATCTTTGTTAAGTAGATTATGGAAATCGTAGTTATCTTGCCTTGTAATCTCACTGTTCGTATGTTGCTGTATCACTTAGATGTGCACTTACACAGTTCATTGTTCTAAAATTGTGAATATTGGTGTATTGTTATAGTTGTATGATAATAACATAATATTATTTTATTAGGTAAGAAGTGCCAAGTAATGGATGATAAAATATTACTAAGGGACTTAGGATTTGTGCAATGTTGTATTCTAACAACAATCTGTTTCGATGTACTTGTGTAAAATTAGTTCGAAAGTTGGGACTTAGTGACCAATGGAAAATGTACCGATATCAATAATTTTGTAAGTAATTACTTTTGCAGTCGATAAGATAACTCACTGCAGTAGCAGATAGCAACTGTTAAAACTTACGATTGTATATTTCTTATTGAAACGCTAACAGAAGGTATTATAACATTTTCGGTATAAAAATGTTTCATTTATTTTCTGAAACATTTATCTTTTTTAGTTGCACAATTTTTCTTAACCGTAAATTGCTTAGCTAATGTCATCACAAAAATTAAAGTAAGTATCCTATTCCGAGTAATGAATGTTACATTGTAAAAATAAGGATCATAGGAAAATTCTTAAAAATGTGAAAAAAAAACAACGAACTTCAGCAGACTAACAAATACAATCCGATGACTAATTTATTCCTACAACTTAAACACTGTTAGCATAATACCAATTAAATCCTTAAACAGTGTAGTCAAAACTATCCGACCAAATGAACTGCTTGCCTAACTTTTGAAAAGTATATCATTAGAATATCGAGCAGTCTAAGTCAACAGTAACAAGTTTAAGTGAAACATATAGTGTAGATAATGACAAGTAGCACATGACTGGTTAAAGTAAATGTAGTCTATTATAGTGGCCTACGTGACGAACTAACCGGCATCAGACAATAGCACAATGATTTATTGCCTCTGATGAAGTACAATAAAAAGGATGAGAACTTACTACAAACAGAAATACATTCAAAACATTTTATAGAGGAAATGCAATAAAATTGTTTACCAACTTCGATCGTAGCCCAGCACAACATAATGTGCAGTAAACCCCTCGGTAACAGTGATAAAACACTGATTATTTCCAAAACCATAATGCAATTTCAAATGGAGTTGCATCAGCCGGTTAGAAATTACTTTCTGTAAAAACCACTCTGTGTTACTTGAGCGAACAAAAGAACCTTCCTTTGGAATCACCATCGTAAATCGGTAGTTATATTTTGGGCCGTTTTCAAACTGAATGCTCCTTTACAGCTTACCTTCATAAAGCGTTTAACAAAAGAAAGTGATGTCTTGAAAAAATGTCGTACAATGTAAATAAGATTGGCTTCATTATCGCGTGTCTTATCGCGCGACAAATGTTTTGCATAAATGGAAAAACAATTTTTTTCTAACAATCGTCGCCGTCGTTATAAACGTCTTTTTTGCAATGCAAGAAGGCAGTAAAAGCAGTTATTGTGCAAAAAATTGACTTCGAAGTATTAAGTGCAGAATACAGAACGATTGCGATATAATAACTGGAAAGCCACAAAAACAATTGAAGAAAAAGAAATGAAGAAAAAACTAGGCTCGGTTGCCAAGCGATGCCGGCCGGCATCACCGGCGTCTCGGCCTTGGCCGGACATGAGTCATGTTTGACAAGCCAGCAAGCACCGGCTCATGTTCGTGACTATAACTCTATGCTTCGAATGTTAATGCCAAATCATATCTAATCAAAGTTCACGGGTCGATCTGCTGTTTATGTTTGTGTTTGTTTGTCTACTTGTTTAGTACATCCCCTTTAGTATTTTTGGACTGCATCGACTAAACAAACTATTTTTGTGCACTTTGCATCATTAACACCTATTTGAAGTTTATGCTAATGTTTGCAATAATATCCATATTTGTTCTTCACACATTTAAAAATGTTCATTTGCAAGCTTTCCAAATAAGGAAAATTCACTGCCAGCGGTGGCAATAAAATCATAACTCTTCCGCACACAGTTTATCGTTAACCACACATTAACGCAAACATATTATGTTCATATTAAGAGTTCGCTTCATTATGTGATACCGGCGTTACTATCTTTGTTTTATTAATGACAATGATGTAATTGTTTGAACAAGCGAGTGATTACTAACAACGTGTGCAGTTTCATTGTGTATCGATAGTTTCGTGAATATACTAATGTTAGTGCTCACCGTCTCGCCGATAAGCCAGTCTGATGATAAATTATACAATCTGGATATTATCTTAAACTAACTTCAAACAACATTATAAGAATGTTGAAATACTGACGGCAGTGAGCTTGTGTTTCCTTTCATTGAATAAACGTGTTTTGATCATTTTACTCAAACAAAGGATTTTGGGTTTAAAATATTTAACATACCACTCTACAATATAGAATCTATCGAGAGGTGTAACTACTTGTATTGTATCACTACTGCTATAAAGAATATCTTATAATCCCTTTCCACATCGAGCGAACTAACAATAAGTTACTTATATCAAAAGGAAAAAATGTATTAAACCTTAGAAAAAATGTGATGAAGGGAAAATTATTGGACGTTGAAGGGAAGATTAAATACCAAAAGAAGGGAAGAAAAAAACCCAACGGAAATTAAAAGAGCGACCAACCTGTCGCGAAAGATTCCCGTTCGCCACACAATACATCCCTTATTCCCTTCTTATTCTTACGATCCCTACACAAAGGGACAATAGGGTCGAGCACCGCACTGCACACGACTCACACATCCCAACCTGTTCCTACAACATGCTCCCGGCCGAGGCTCCGGGCTCACTCGTCTTCTATGAATAGTATCTATGTCTAAGTAAGATTCATTATAAAAATACTAAAGTTAACTATTGAAATGAAAATGAGAATTAAACTGTCAAACACCAAGCGGTCACCGGTGACCGCGACCTATTGTTCTTTAATTGTGTCTATAAAACCGGTACTCGACGAGTTAAATTAGAATACGAAATAGAGCAAACACAACAAAACAAAATTGTACATTGTTTAATATTCTTTGTGTTCACGGCATCACGAACATTTGCTCCAACGTTTGTTTAGTATCGCCAATGTCGTGTATGTCTCCATTTGTACAGAATTGTTTTAGTACCGCAAGCGTTTACAATTGGTCGGGTTTTAGTTGATACATAACACCAATATTTGCTGTAATCAGTATTCAGCGCTCGTGCATACTTCATGCCAAGTTTAGGCAACGATTCATTAGCAATTTTAATATGTTTCTGTTTATGTCTCCCGTAGCCACGTGTATATGTATATCCATTGTAATATAACACTAGGTATGTACATGTTTTTGTACTCCATGTTGGCCTTGTGTGCTTTTAAATTTATCTGAACTTCAATATTGTCTCATTAAGATAACCATCGCAGCTCGTAAGCTGACATGAATATATTTTTTATTTACGCGGTATGTACCTAAATTGATTGTTCAAGATGATTGCACTTATTAAATGTGACTAACTGGATTTATTTTTAACTTTTAATGAATTAAAGAGTTTTTGTAATAAACGTTGTGTAACTACTATTTGCATTTTTATTTTCCCAATTAGGTACCTTGTTAGAATAAGTAAAACGACTACGACTATGATTGGATCATTCTTTTTCCACTAGTATTGAGTTGTGATTGAAAGGGGATTTCAGTAATTGTTTAACTAATTGATAATTTCTCCTAGGCTTTTACTTTTTTTATTTCCTTTTAGATAAACTGATGATAGTGTATCTCTTTTACAATAATCGATATTGAAATAAAGGAAAAATCATATCAAGACTCTTAAATCAGATCAAAATGAAGAAAAAAGGGATCCAACCGCTCAAAACCATCCAAATGAAGGCAAGCCAATAAGTGGGGAGGTATTGAGTATAAACACTAGATAAGTGACAATATAATATTTAGGTTATCTCATACTCTCATATCGTAGGTCATTGAGCCACTCTATGACACAGAATTTGCCAATTTAGATATAACGAACACTAATGATAATGATTTAACAAATTCTGATAAGTTTGCAAACCAGACCAGCGCAGAAATAAAATATTTTGAAATGGTGATGAATGTTGTTGATAGTTGTGTGGGTATTAAAGCAGAATGGAAACTGTGGATAGATTGAGGTGCTGATCTACTGTTCAAAGAAGAAAAGTTCGAGTTGAGAGATCAAAAGTAAGTATATTCGTTTCGTCTAAACGAACTCCGTAAGTATAATAGAAACTGGAACTATGAAACTAAAAGCAGTTGATGCAAAATAATAATACGAATCTGTCTTGGGTTCAATTCCTGAGTCCTATAAGATCTCAAAATCCTCAGTAGTTAAAACCTAGTAACTAATC